GTTCTAACGACGACCGTACTTAGGCTACATATTCATGTTGTCGAACAAGACGTTATTTTCCAATAATTGTTTTAGTTATATAAACCAAGGTGTTTCTTTATTTCTATTCTATCAATTTAATCTTTATTCAAAATAAGACATCATTATCTATTTAGCAAACTAATTATTCTGAAGCTACAAAAATTATAGTGAGTACCTAATATTGCTAGAGCCTACTGTACAAATTTCAGATTCAACAATATTACCAATTTATCATGGAAATTCCTATAAGTTTATACTTTACAATATTAAGTGCCTTAAATTAATTATGTAGCTTCAAGAATATTATTAAACTATATGAACAAAATATACTAATAGGTAGATCATGATTTTAGAAACCTAACAAGACTGGTTTGGCATTTTTACGTTTTTTCTATGATTCACTACGAATTTTACAAGTTTATTTCTAACTAAATTAACAAAGGCTTTTATAAACGAACAGAGCCAGCGGCCATCAAAATCTGGCCCAGCGAACGCGCGGCCACAGCGGGGCCCGTGACCGGCGAGGTCGTCAGCGCGGTTGTCGCGGCTCAGCTCGGTGGCGCGGCTGGCTCTAGGACAGCGTGGGCATCGACAGCTCCGGCGCTGTACACGGCAGGGCGACAGCGGTCCAGAGCCGGACCGAGGACGCGCGCGCGCGGTGGCCGGGCGACAAGAGCGCGGCCACGGAGACTCGGCAAGGAGGAGCAGCGCTCGCAAGAGGACCGATGGCGACGGCGCAGCCATGACGGCCGCGGTCCAGCGTTGGTGGAGACGCGCGTGGAACTCAGGAATGCTTGCGCGTGCGACGGCCGGACGGGAGCGGCTACGGTGAACGAGCTCTGCTCGACTACGGCTGCGAGGAAGGCTCTCGGGAAGACGGCGCTGCAGAGACGGGGGCAGCGACTTCGGCGCGGGCAACAGCCGGGAGGCGGGGTGCTGCGGAAGGAGTAGCGCTGTCTGCACGAGCAAGGCGTGCACCGCGAAGATGAAAAAGGCTGAAATCGAGACAAGCAAGGACGGAGGCAGGCAAGACACGACTGCGACTGCAGACGCAGAAATAGAATAGGGCCACGTTTAGTTCCCAAACTTTGGAGTGACAAAATTTCTGTAGCGACACTGTAGCATTTCGTTTGTATTTGGTAATAATTGTCCAACTGTTGACTAATTAGGCTCAAAACGTTCGTCTCGCAAAGTACAACCAAACTATATAATTAGTTTTTGATTTCGTCTACATTTAGTACTTCATGTATATACCGTAAATTTGATGTGATGTAGAATTTTCCTTTTACATAGTGTATTTTTCTGGAGTTTTGGAGTAATAAACATGGCCCAGGAGGAAAACAAGAGGTTCGCCCGAGCACTTGGTCTGGCAGGGCGTGCCGGGGCGTCTCCGTGCAGTTCCGCAGGCGCTGAGCTGTGGTCTGCACCTGGCCTGGCCCACCACTGCCACTCCACCGCAGGCTATGCGCGTGTTCAGTTCAAAAATACCTTAAAAAAAGTGCTACAGTATCCGTCACATCGAATCTTACGATACGTGCATAGAACAGTAAATATAGACGAAAAAAAAACTAATTGCACAGTTTGGTTGAAAATCGCGAGACGAACGTTTTGAGCCTAATTAGTCTATAATTGAACACTATTTGCCAAATAAAAACGAAAATGCTATAGTACCCAAATTCTAACTTTTCCTCCAACTGAACACAGCCTACAGTAGACAAATTTGCTTTCCATTCTCTCTCTTCACAGAGATCCAGAGGCTTTTGCTTCAGTCCGTCAGCTTTGTCAGTTCAAAAGTGGCTCTAGGAATCTGCTTTTACCCCCACAGTGCACGGCGGCACTGCGCCACTGACCGAGGACCGCGCACGCGCTTCCTGCTAGCCTGCTTGATGGTGCTTGCCCAACGAGACGATCGAGCACGGCCAAAACGCGGCTTGGCCGATGCAGGACGCAGTCAGAAGCAAGGAAGAACGGGCGCAGCTGCGATGGCTCGGCTGCTGGTGCTCCCATTAAAATATTTGGACAAGACCACTCTGTACTGCATTTGCTGTTTCCCCTTCACAGACAACCGACTGACCGCGAGCTACCGATCGATCAACCTGTACTATTGGTAATATGTATATATATAAGGTATATATATATATATATATATATATATATATATTTTGTTGTCTCATCTGTCATCACGCTTTGATGACTGTACTGCTCCCGCAGCTAACTTGTTCAATCCAATCTAATCGCGCGCTCGTCGTTACGTGCCGCGACGCCTAATTAAGCAAGCCACAGGGTACTTTTATTAGGACAGTAACAGCCAAACGTCGGGTCTGTTTCGCGGACGCTAGCTAGCCAGTGTGCCTGATGAGAGCAGAGGAGGAGATAGTTGGCATGCATATATATATATATATATATATATATATATATATATATATAACGGTTTGCTAGTTTACATAAATTATAACGTCTAGGCACAGAATTTTTTTACCAAAGCTCAAATTTAAATTTAATTCAAACGCTATATATATATATCGTTCTATTTATTAATGGATTTTATTTTATTTATAAAAGTTGTTTTTCCTGCTCAATCTAACAGAACAAACCGTTCGCTATTTATTTGCCAGGATTATCATTCCACATTCTTAAATATTTCTATGCCCGGCGTGATTTAACTTGAGCGTTTACTTGAGTCCGCGAAACTAAGTCACACAGGATTCGCGTATTGTGTCGAATACGTTTTAAATAAAAAAATCCGAGAAACTCGTTTCGAAAATTTGACTTAGGCCTAAATCGCAGTGTTAAATAAGCTCTAACACCGGGGTGTTACAGGCACTAGTGCTGGCAGGCAAGGCTATCTCTGGGTGTCCTCCGTGCGTCTCGCTGCCACTTCGTCCGAAGTCGCCTCGCTGCACCCCCCGCGCCACGCGCGGCCGTTAGCGCCGGTGGGCTAGGCCACCCCACTGCGACCCCTGCGTTGCGAGCGGGCGCTAGCGACGGCGGGCGAGGCCGCCCCGCCACGTCTCCCGCGTCGCGATCAGCCATCTCCGGGCGAGACCACGCCATGTTAGAGGCCTCCGCCGGGCGACGCCTCCTCTGCCCCATCCTCGTCTCCTCTAGCATCCATAGATCTAGAGAGGGTTTTTTTAAGAAGAACAGGAAGTGGGGGGAGAAGGGATGCATGCGTGAGACGCGACTCTGCGTGTTGGCCCACGTCAACAGGACTGCACGAGACGAGGCGTGTGCTATACACAAGAGTATTTTGGTCCTTCTGAAAGAAAGTTGATATAGTCAATGTTTGGATCCTAGACTAAACTTTAGTCCCTATCATATCAGACGTTCGGATGCTAATTATGAGGATTAAACATGAGTTAATTATAAAACTAATTGCACAGCTGGAGACTAATTTGTGAGACGATTCTATTAATCCTAATTAATACATCACTAACACATGTTACTGCAGCATCGCATTGTCAAATCATGGATTAATTATGTTTAATAGATTCGTCTCGCAAATTAATCTCCATCTGTGCAATTAGTTTGGTAATTAGTCAAAATTAGTGTCAAATATCCGATGTGACATGGACTAAAGTTTACTCCGAGGTATCCAAACACCTAACCGATGGATACACCAAATGAATGGTAGTACTATTTACGGAAGAAAATTCAACTCGACGTCAGATAAAGAAGTTCAATTTTTTTAGTGTTAAATAAGAATAACTGATTTGTTTCGGTGCTAAATACATAATTTTCTCTAATTTTTAATGTTGAGGGGTAGTTGGTGGATGTAGCTTGATTTTACATATGCAGGATTACGTTATTGTGTTTTTACGGTTACGAGATAGGGAGAGCTGGTGCTTTGAATAATATATATAATTTGTTCTGAGAGAGAACCGACATTGGCCCTATATCGCACCCGTTTTGGATCTTTTGACTGGGTTAAGCTCATAGTCTTACCTACTACTTCGTTAACTCTGCTAAAAAAAAACCCTACTACTTCGTTAACAGCTTAATCAGGACCTTGCAAAGTGCAAAATGACTTTGGTCCTGTTTGGATCTATAGAACTAACAATTAGTTGATTAATTTTTAGTTTATAAATATCTAAACAGGTAAACTAATTCTTCGCTCATTAGTTATGGACCAATCGTTAGTTCACTAGTTCACTCGTAAGAGTTAATATGACTAGTTGTTAGTCCCAGCTTATCAAACAGCCGCTTTGGTGGAATGGCTTTATGTCTTGGGAAGGCCCTTTGTGTACTACGGAGTACAAGTATTAACTTGTTGCTATGACTGATTAATCCAAAATAACGTGACCCGGAGCAGTTTGTTTCAACGGGGAATGAGGAAAGTTGTATGTATTCCGCCGTGGCCCGTGGATCTAGTCTAGTTGAGTTGGCGTGCAAGCCAGAAAGCACCAGAGGATCAAGATATACAGGGTTCGTTTCTTATCCCGCCGCCGCCGCCGCCGCCGCCGCCAGCTGCGCCTCGTCGTCAGAGGGTTCCCATTCCTGCTCCCTCTGCCGCCGCCCCTCGCTGCGCCTCGTCGGCGGCGGCCTCACCGCCGGTTGGTGACGGGCACGACAAACCGAGGCCCCTCTTTCCACCACCCAAGTTCCCTTTCCTCTCTCTCTGCGGAAGGTGTCGGTGCTGCCCTCTGCTGGTACAGGTGTCTGAAGTGCAGTCAGATCCACCCGGCCTGACCTGGATCGGTCTCTCCGTTTGCTGGTGAGCAATCCTGACCTCTTCGGATGAACTGCTGTGCGATCTCGTTTTTGTTCCTCGTGGGACCTTCCATTTTCTTTTACTGTGATAACAAGCAGTAAAAAATCCGAACTTTGGAGGGTGCTGGTCAAGCCTACACTAATTCATCCATCCATGATTCCATCGCGCAGGGTCAACAAACTCTGGGGTTCAGCTAAACCCTCAATCCGTGCCTAACGGCCAGTCTGGTCCTGCAAGGTTTCTCTAGGATTTTTGCGCAACAACAGCCATGTGGAGGCTCAAGCAGTTCATCCCCAAGGAGCAGCCCAGTGGCCTGGAGGGTCGGACCGTCGATGTCGGCAATGTCAAGGTGCAAGTCCGGGAGGCCATTGCCGAGGGTGGGTTCTCATCCGTCTATGCTGCCCGAGACCTGGTCAACCCAGCGAAGCAGTACGCTCTCAAGCACGTGATCGTCCAGGACGAGGAGTCGCTGGGCCTGGTCCGGAAGGAGATCACGGTGATGCGGTCGCTCAAGGGACACCCAAATGTGGTCGCGCTGGTTGCACACGCCATACTGGACATGGGGCGCACGAGGGAGGCGCTGCTGCTCATGGAGTTCTGCGAGAAGTCGCTGGTTTCTGTGTTGGAGGGCAGAGGAGCGGGCCACTTTGATGAGGAGAAGGTGGCGCTCATCTTCCGGGATGTTTGCAATGCTATCTTTGCAATGCATTGCCAGACGCCGCCTCTTGCTCACAGGTGAGTCCACCACTTTCCAGCCTGTGGATTGATTGGAGCCACACTGCACAATGTTTCCACCAAGCAGTACTCATGTAGTTGATGCTTTTGTGGTTGCCTTTCCATGAAATAGTTGAGCAGCATTAATCCACCTATATCTCATGTGAAACCAAAATAGATGCAAGTTGGTCTTTTGTACCTTGAAAATAAACTACATCTATGTCACAGACTCACAGCAATGTTATACTGGATCAAGTAACAAAGTCCCAAACTTGCAAGTTCAATCAAGTAACAATCGAAAAGCATGTTGAATCAACTTATTTTTGCTCTATAGATGGCATCTTGGCTTGCAAACTAGATGTTGACGCACGTTACTTTTCACATTCATGGGTGTTGTTCTTGGTAGTTTTCCTTACTCTAAGGCATTCAGGACTATCGTTGTTCAGTTGTAGCCTGCAACAGATAATTCTGTGTGTTTTATTGGTTTTTTTATCCTTATTGTACTGTTTGAGTGAAGTTGCATCGTTAGGAAACTGCTATGCCAAGTTTCATTTCAGATCTCTATGACGGAAAATATGATTCATTTGCGTTTGCAGGGACCTAAAGGCAGAAAATGTTCTTCTTGCTGCTGATGGGGCATGGAAACTATGCGATTTTGGTAGTGTGTCGACAAATCATAAGTGCTTTGATAAACCTGAGGAGATGGGCATTGAAGAAGATAACATCAGGAAGCACACCACTCCTGCATATAGAGCTCCTGAGGTTTATATTGAAAATTTCAAGTTTGGGCCCTTTCTCAGTCTGTTCTACATATTTATTTACTACTGTATGCTTGTTTACTGATTGCAGATGTGGGACTTGTACAGGAGGGAGGTTATCAGTGAGAAAGTAGATATCTGGGTAAACCACCTCTGCAGCTATCATATTGCATTCTGGTTTTATGCAAATGTTGCCTATCATATTATATTATTGAATTGCAATTATTTTTTTCTTTGTACCTGATCAATTACTAATTAATAGTGCCATGAGTTGAACGTTAGTGGTTGTGGTTTTTTACAGGCTCTTGGGTGTCTCTTATATAGAATCTGCTACTTCAAATCAGCATTTGATGGAGAATCAAAGCTTCAAATACTTAACGGGAACTATCGTATCCCAGAATTGCCGAAGTACAGTTCTTCTATTACAACACTTATCAAAGACATGCTTAATTCTTCTCCAGATGCCAGACCAGACATCACACAGGCAAGGGCTTTGCTTGATTGGCCATTCACTTCCATGAATTTAGGTTGGTCTTAATTAGTGCATACACCATGAAGCCAACACATAAAAGGTCTTCCGTTTCAGTGTTGTTGATAAATGTTCTGTTTTAGGTGTGGTTCCGTGTTAATGAGTTACTTCCCTTGGAGTTGCAAAAGGATTTACCTGATGGATCTCCATCTGGATCAGCATTTGAATCTCAGACTGCCATTGATGAAGGTTTGCGCTGTTATTTTTTTGGTAGATTTATCTAGATAAATATTAGGAAATGTAGGAAATGCTGTTGCGTGAAATCTCATATATATACTTTTGTGTGAATAGAAAACCGTCTGTTTTGTTAATCACTCATCTTGGTTTTGTTAATTGCTCATATTTTTTCTCTGCATCTTAAATTTTCCTTTGCCTGAAAATAATTCTTCTTGCTTGTTCAATAACCTAAATTATTTCTCGCAGCATCAACGAGACCACAGCAAATGAGTGCCTCTTCATCATCAAGAGACAATATGAGGAGTACCTCTCTTAGTGATTCTTCCAATGTCATGGCACAAGGTCCTCTGAAAGCTATGGACAACAAGGGTTCTATGGGTGCATTTTGGTCAACTCAACATGCTCAGGAGCTATCTTTTGCTTATGACAAGGAGCCAGCTTTTGATGAAGAGCCTGTTAATCAAGTCACATCAAAGCAATCACAGGCTAAGAACCAGAACACACCAGCTCACAATTCATCTCGGAAGTCTCTGTCTGCATCAGTTGATAGTTCACCTGGGGATTTTGAAATTAGGTTTTCTGCAAATGGCTCGGAGTCTGGGCTGGAGAAAACCAAAACGGCAATAACAGAGAATAAAACAAAGATACAAACTACTGCCTTCAACTCCTTTGTGGCAAACTTTGATAGTATCAAAATGAACTCGCAAAACAGTACTGACAATGTAAACATGACTAGCAAATTGAAAGAACATCAATTGGAAGCAGAAGTAACTTTACTCAAGGAACAATTAAAGATAGCAAACCTGGAGAAGGAAGAAATTTCGTTGAAGTTTGATAAGTTATCTGCGATTTGCTCCTCTCAGAGGCAAGAGATACAAGAGCTTAAGCAAGCCTTAGCTGCAGCTTCTGTTACACCAGCAGCTAAACAGTTCAGAGAAAATTCAAAGGTTGAACTCACCCCACCCAGCAAAAGCCTCGATACTCCGGTATGAGTACTGCTATGCCCTTAAATTTCCCTCTAGCCAGATATACCCAGTTTCAAGTTTCCACTTGGTCCAGATAGCTGGCCAATGGGTGAAATCATTGAAGATAGAATTAGAAGTGGCTAGCTTGGCCAAGAATCAAAGTGTTTAGATTCAGTGATGGTGTGTGAAAGTTGGTGGGCCAATCCTGAACATCTATTCTTTCCTGTCAATGGATAGGATTAGCCCATCCTTTACCCCATCCTACCTCGCATATCCCTAAATCTAATACCCTGTGAGGTCTAACTTAGCATGGCCTAGCCACTTTTCCTATTTGACATTACTGTTGACTTATTTCTGTCTAGATAGCCTAAATACCCTGAATGTAATATTTCATCTTGATATATATCAGGAGGCTGATATATTAATTTACTGGTTTTCACAGCCGAGGGAAAAGATTGAAGGAACCCCTCCAGAGCTCCGGCAAGGCCTATTTACTTCAAGCCCGGGAACACCAAGCCCTGATCTGAAAACATGGTCAGCTTTCCCTGAAGAGCCAAAAGCTCAAGCAGCTGTGAAGAGTGTCCACCCCAGGTCAGTCCGAACTCTGCGCGCATCAAACAGCAACAAAGCCAGCTCGCTTGGACAGTCAAATATAAGTTCTAGCACCGATCCATTTGCCTTTGGTCAAGATAGCTTTAAGGTTGCTCCTTCTGGAACTGCACGTCCCCAGTTATCAAACATGGGGAGTACTTCTCAGCTCAATAGTCTGAATGTAGAAGAAAAGAAAGATGGATCCTACCAACCAGCTGGATGGACTGGGTTCTAATTGTGCTATAGCAATTTACGGTGATACTTGTGCTATAGCAATTTACGGTGATACTATGTATGCCAAAAGAGTCGAGTACATATGGTCTTGGTGGTGTGGCATATTGAAGATGCAGAGAGGAATGCCTGAACTGATGTAGGTATGTGTGGCAACACTTTTGTACAATTGTTCTGGTGCTGAGCTAGCATCATAATGCATCCAGTTGTAACTTTAGTGCAAATGTAAGTTGCAACTTGCAAATAATTGCTAGATATTAGAAATAGGAAGATGTTTTTTCCTTCCGTAGACAAGTTTGTGGTGTCATGTCAATAAACAATGAATTTTGGACACATGCTATATAGATATAGCCATCTATTACCATTTCATAAATAAAAGGTTAACATTTAGTGGTAAATAGCTAATATACTCACTTTAATGCTAGTTATTCATGTTGAGTCACACGAACACAAATCTTTATGAATTCATTGTGATACATTTAGATTTGATTTGTTTCTATGATTTAACATGAGGCTGTGAGGATCTCTTCTATTTTGGTGTCAACACATACATCTTGCAAGCATGAGAATCCACTGTTTCCTCCAGTTCTCCTTGCACGGCTGATATAATCTCATCCTTCAAAACAAACAAAATCACAAACGCAGGAATAAGTTAGAAAAACCAACTGCAATATGAAATATAGAGAAAATATACTCCCTGCTCTCAGAATCAATCTTTAATGTAAGTTTCTCTTATAGTATTTATCGTTCATTATACAATCTTAATCATTAGCAAGTGGTTGAAATACAAATCCAGAGTTATATAACTTTTATAGCATGTAATTCACATATTTTTGGACTCATCGTTAGTCAAAGCATGAATTTGTATAGTCATACTGCACCTTACAAAACAAATGGGAGGGTATGGTTTTAGGACTTGTCTATGATAGATAAAATGCATCCTTACTGTCCAAGATCATGAGCATCAACAACGGTAGATGCATTAAGTCCAATGCTCCACCAGCTGGCAGTAATGGATGCTTGAGCAGACCCTCTGTTCCATAGAACAACTGCAAATCTCCCTCCAGTCAAGGGACAAGCCCATACCTAACCACAAGGTTATGTTATATAAACAAGTGTTAAATATCATAGCTTTTGCTTTCTTGTATAGTTTATCTTACTTCTTGCTCTCCATCTTGTTGCACTTTGTGCCCTTGTACTCCAAGCCCATCTGCTCATGAATCATTTTAGTTTAGTATAATATCATTTCTAACTTGGAGAAACTAAGGAATGATCGGTGTACTTTCTTCACCTTGGTTGACTGCAATAACATTTCGATTGCTGAGGATTTCCTTGGTTTCGTTGCTCATTGAGTGGATGTCACAACCAATCAAGAGAGGTGCCTGCATCAAGCTAAGTCCGCAGCATGGTCTTATAAATGAGCAAAAATATGTCCAGTTTGTTGAATTATACTTTAGTGATATTTTTTCATCTCTATTGCTAAGACCCAAATTAAGCATCTTATTACCTTCATTAAGGCCCATAGGCTGAAATGGGAGCGGTACTCTTCTGTTGTCATCCCCCCATTTCCAACTTCCAGCATGTCTGGGTCTGAAAGCAGAGACAGCAGTTCATTCAAGACTCAAGAGAAAGTGCTGGAAATGTTTAGAGACATGTAGGACTAACCATTCCATCCACCAGGCCCTGCATATGATGCCCACTTGTCGTTCTTATCGGCGATGGCTGTCATGCTGAAACATTACATTTACAGGGCAACAAGTTGTATCAGGCATATTTTGCCAGGACAATTGAATCCTGTCAGGATGTGACTTGTGACTGAACTTTACCTTGCCCAAGTGTCCTTGATGTCACCAGTTGTTCTCCAACTGTTTCCTACACCACCTGCCCATGTTGCTGGATCATCCACACCCCTAGCGAACAATATTATTTTTAGTACAGAAGGATCGAATCTAAATCATCCATTTGAGTTTCTCAAAAGAATGAACAAGTACCATTCGCAGAGGGAGAAGAAAATATTCCTCCCAGAATTGAGGAGCGCTTTGCTCATTGCATCATATCTGCATATGGTCATGAGCAAATCAGTCTCTCAAGGTAGCATGAATGACGGAAACTGTTAAGAGCTCTTGTGAATGCTGATCACCTTGGCTGAGGGCTTATTCCCTGGTTGTTGCAGTTGTCATACTTCAAGTAGTCGATTCCCTTTGAATTGAATCATCAAAAGCATGATTTCAGTATGCAAGCAGCAAAGAAAGGCATGGTCTTGACATGCCTAAAGTTTGGTTCTAATTGAGACATGATGGTACCCAAGATGCAAAAGTTTTCACGTCTTGGTCTTCGTATCCAAGTGATCCAGGCATCAACTTGCCGCAAGTTCGTGTCCTGAGGGGAATGGTTGGTGTGATTTTATAGAGGAAAACAAACCAGAGCATGAAATCCATTGAACTAAAGTGTACGAGTGTTTCTAGTTCTTCCATAAGCATCTTGAACATTTTTTTGCGACTTTGTGTCTGTTCTTTTGTTACTATAAGTAGGATTACCCTGCATCACTGTAGATCCCTAGTTTGAGCCCTTTCCCATGCACATAGTCTGCCAAGGCCGTTACTCCCGATGGGAATGTTGACGCATTTGCAGCCAGGTTGCCCTGTAGAAATGCAGAAAGCTAGATTACTACTAGTTCTTATGCTACTCTGCATATATGATTGTGCTGCCATTTACTCAACTGGGAATCCCTGTCATAGGCTGCCCCGTAATCATCTGCAGTTTCACAAATGTTGAGTTCTCAGGAAGTTTCAACTGGGCAAAAGAACAGCAGGGTCATTAGGAAATCTCAAGAGGAGGTACCTATGTTGATATATTCATATCCAAGCTTTGCTAGGCCAGTATCCACCATAGCATCAGCTGCACAGGCGAATCATCAACTTGTTTTCAGCATGCTGTGACTGATGCAAAATGCACCTGTTTTGTGCCAAAACAAAAGTAGCTTTACCGATTTGTCGAATGATCTCTTCGTTTATGTTCCGGTGGAAGTGATTCCAGCTATTCCACCTAAAAATGTATCATGCACTTCAGCACTTGTTGGTTCAAAAGATGTCAATGCAGATTGGATGAAACCATGAAAACGAAAACAGGAACTTAATGCAGATTGGATGAAATCATGAAAACAAGAAAAGGTGAAAAAAAACCAGGAAGCCAAGATGGAAAATCAAATCTCATCACCGAGGGATAATAAGAACTGAAAAGAACACAGGACAAAGGCTACAAGATGAATTACCCCATCTGGGGAGTCCGGCCAAGGCCATTCTCCAGCGCTGCTCTCCTCGCCACGGTTGATGACCTTGCCGACGGGCTGATGGCCGCTGCCAACGTCGATAGCAAGACCAAGACGAAAGCACAGAAGGTCACCTTCCCCGCCATGGCTGGGCAAAGATATGTGTGTCTCAGTGCGGCAAGTGATGTGTTCCTTAACATCTACTACTGGTTTCTCCGAGGCCACTATATATATATAGGAATTGGCCAGTATTACGACAAGAATCTGTTCACGAGTTTCGGATCCCACGGAGCAGGTGTCAAGCGCTTTGGCACTCAACGACGGCGGCCCGCGACTACGTAGTTCGTAGTCGCGCTCCAGTCCTCACCGCGAGGTTATACCTCTCTGCTGGTGGGTTAACGAGAGTAGAGGTAGGAGATTAGATGATAACTGATTGCTTGCCTTCATTGTTTTGAGTCCAGGGAATATATGAGCCAACCGGCTAACAAACTGGGAAACAAACGATCCTAATTTTAAGGCCTAATTTTCTCCTAGCCACTGGGCCCGGCCCTGCCATCCTCGTCCGAGATGATCGTGGCCCTTGCCGCGTCGCGCGCTGCAGCCCGCTCTGCTGCCCTGCGGATGTCTCGCGCCCTACGCTGCCTTGCGAATGTCCGGCCCCACATGACATCTCTCCCCTCCTCGAGAAGCAGCTCGTCCTCGAGCTGGAAGCTTGGAAATTGCTCGCGGAACGTGTCGAGGTCTTCCCAGGTGGCCGACTCCAGCGGTTCGCCGCGCCGATTAGACGAAAGCAAGTTTGGCGAACGCCGCGCGCCAAGCGAGCCCGCTCAACCCGAGCCGGCTCTGGAGTTACCACGCCATGGTGGATGTGTGGCAGTGCAGGTGGAGTCGACGGAGGCACGCCGCTGAACTTCTTGAGGGCGCTCACATGGAACACGTCATGGATGCGAGCCTGCGGCGGAAGGTCCAAACGTACAGCCACATCGTTGATGAGCTCGGCGACGCGGTAGGGCCCGATGTAGCGCGGCTTCAGCTTGCCCGTAGTAGCCTGGGGTAGGGAGGACATGGTGCGCTGTCGGAGGCGCAGCAACGCTCAATCGCCCACCTGATAAGACACGTGTCGATGATCCAGGCGATAGCGGACGTCGGCGAGAAAGGCTGCGCGTTCCTCCATGTCGCTAGCCACGACAGCAACCCAAGTGTCTCCCGGCTCGTAAGAGTGGATGGTGGGTGGGTCGCGGCCGTACACCACGCGGAACGGGGTCTCCCGGAGCGAGGACTGGTAGGCCGTGTTATACACGTACTCAGCCTAGGGAAGCCACCGCAACCACTGCCGGAGTCGGTCTCCCGTGAAGCAACGCAGGTACATGACGATGACGCGGTTGGCCGCCTCCGTCTGGCCGTCAGACTGAGGGTGGAAGGCGGACGTCATGTGCAGCTTGGTGCCCATCAGCCTCATGAGCTCGCGCCAAAACAACGAGGTGAACACTGGGTCGCGGTCCGAAACCACGGACTGCGGCATGCCGTGGAGGCGCACAATGTCGGTGAAGAACGCCTGGGCCACGGTCTCGGCGGTGTACGGGTGCGCCAAGGGGATGAAATGGCAATATTTGCTGAAGCGGTCGACGACGGAGAGGATCACGGACTTCCTGTTCACTCGCGGCAAGGCCTCCACGAAATCAAGGCCGATGTCGGCCCAGACGATGGTAGGGATGGGCAGCGGCAGGAGGAGCCCGGCGGGGTGGAGGTGCTCCGACTTGTACCTCTGGCAAGTGACGCACTCCCGAACAAAGTCCTGCACACAGCGACGCATGTTGGGAAAATGAAAATCGCGGCGTAGTCGATGCAGCGTTTGCTGGACACCCTCGTGTCCGTCGTCGTGGACGGCCGCCACGATCTCTTGCAGCAGTGGCGAGGCCGGCGGTATGTAGAGCCGCCCGTCGTAGGTGACCATGCCGTCGGAGATCGCCCACGGTGCGGCGCGCGTGCCCGCGCTGATCTCGTCGTGGACAGCCACCAAGGCTGGATCCGTGGCCTGAGCGTGGCGGAGGCGGCTGATGAAGTCGAAGCGGGGGCCTGAGACTGCCATGAGTGCGCCCGTAGAGTCCTCCTCGGTGTCGCGGCGTGAGAGGGCGTCGGCCACCATGTTCATCGCGCCGGACTTGTACTCAACGGTGAAATCAAAGCCCAGCAGCTTGCCGACCCAGTGATGCTGGGGAATAGTCACTAGGCGCTGGTCGAGGAGGTACTTGAGACTGTAGTGGTCCATCTTGACGATGAAGCGGCGCCCCATAGGTACGGTCGCCAATGGCGGATGGCGAGAACGAGGCCGATCAGTTCCCGCTCATAGGCCGCAAGGGAACGATGGCGAGGCGCCACCGGTCGGCTGAAGAATGCAATCGGGTGCGCCTCCTGGATGAGCACCGCCCCGAAGCCGTAAGTGGACGCGTCACACTCCACGATGAAGGGCCTGTGATATGAACCCGCAAGGGTTTGTGGTCGATCTTTCGATGAGAGGCGTGAGATAACTCGATTGGTGGATGGAGATGACGTTCACGGCCCGACTACAGCCTTCCAAGACCACGCCTTAGCGACCGATACACCACTTCCCAAGGCCGTCACGATCTTGTGGAGCACGACAACCAGCCCCTAGGGCTCCCGTCCTGCAAGCAATCGAAGAACTAGCAAGAACGAGGAAACAAGCACTGAAATTGCAAGATAAAATTGAAGGTTTCACACTGAATCTTATTATGAGTGGGGTTCAAGACAAGGAGATGGGCGATTGGATCAAGACGCGCGCCTACAAGCAAGTAGCGATGGCTAAACTTGATCTAAACAAAACCCAAGTGTTCTGGTGGCGGCTAAGGGGTATATGACGTGGAGGACGACCACAAGAGAGTTTGGGTCGTGCTCCAACCCTAGGATGCGTCCCCTACTGGACTCTAAACGATACAAGCCCATTGGGCTAACTTAAGGTGGCGCAGACACGGACAGAATAGACCTCTCGGTGATTTTTGGACTGTTGACGCCGCTTCTGAGCAGGTATGAGTACGAGGTCAGATCCGTATGAAAGTAGACTTTATTAGCTTTCCAACAAGTCCAGAATCACCCCAATCCGACTCCGTATGTAACCGTGGCGACCGTCGCCAGTTGGAGGTGTGCTGCAGTCCGAATCCAGCCTACGCGAGTCCTTTTCCCTTTCGGTCTTCTCCTTGATTCCTAATCAAAACAAGAGTGCACGTGTCTCCAAGATCTAAACAGGATGGACAAGAGCTCAAGAACGAACTCACTTGATGATTAAGTTTTCGAGCACGAGCACGAGTAATAGGACCAGCAGGTGTCGGCGTGGACGGCGTGGATGTATGATCGGTGTTGATGTCCTCATCATCCTCCCTTTCTTGAATTTGAGTCGTCCTCGACTCAAGCTCATCTTCCTCGCCCAAATAAGGCTTCAAATCTGCAATGTTAAATGTGGGACTAACCCCAAAATCTGCAGGAAGATCAAGCTTATATGCATTCTCATTTATTCGTTGCATCACTTTAAAAGGACCATCCGCTCTAGGCATCAATTTAGATTTTCTTAATTCAGGAAACCTATCCTTTCGCAAATGCAACCAAACCAAATCTCCAGGTTCAAGAATCAATTCCCTTCTACCTTTATCTCCAGCAAATTTGTACTTAGCATTCATGCGCTCTATGTTTTCTTTAGTGGTTTCATGTAGTTTTAGCATCAATTTAGCACGTTGCTTAGCATCAAAATTCAACTTTTCAGAACTTGACAATGGCATTAAATCAATAGGAGCACGTGGTAACAAGCCATAAACAATCTCAAAGGGACACATCTTGGTAGTAGAATGCAGCGAACGATTATAAGAAAACTCAATATGAGGCAAACAATCTTTCCACATCTTAATATTCTTCTTTAAAACAATCCTTAACATAGTAGACAAAGTTCTATTCACAACTTCAGTTTGACCATCGGTTTGGGGGTGACAAGTGGTGGAAAATAAAAGCTTAGTCCCCAATTTGGCCCATAAAGTTCTCCAAAATGGCTAAGAAATTTAGCATCACGATCGATCGAAACAATTGTATTTGGCACACCATGCAAGCGAACAACTTCTCGAAAGAACAAATCAGCAATATTTGTAGCATCATCGGTTTTATGACATGGTATGAAATGTGCCATTTTAGAGAATCGATCCACAACCACAAAAACACTATCTCGCCCTTTCCTAGTCCGTGGCAATCCCAACACAAAATCCATAGAAATATCCTCCCAAGAAGCACTAGGAACAGGAAGAGGCATATACAAACCGTGTGGATTCAACCCGGGACTTAGCCTTTTGACATGTTGTGCATGAGCAACAAATCTCTCTCACGTCTCTCGTCGCATCTTTGGCCAAAAGAAATGACTAGCAAGAATGTCCTCCATCTTCTTCGCTCCAAAATGCCCCATCAAGCCACCTCCATGCGCTTCCTGCGCAAGCAACAACAAGCTTAACGGAGCTAGCTGGAATGCATAGCTTGTTAGCTCTAAACACAAACCCATCATTGACGATGAATTTGTTCCACGTTTTCCCATCTTTACAATGCAACAAACACTTCTTTAAAATCAGCATCATGAGCATATCGGTCTTTAATTGTTTCTAACCCAAAGATCTTGTAATCAAGTTGATTCAAAGAAAGTATATCTCCTAGACAATGCATACGCAATGATATTATCCTTCCCTTTCTTGTGTTTGATAACATAAGGAAAAGATTCAATAAATTCAACCCATTTTGCATGTCTACGATTCAGTTTTCCTTGACTACGAATATGCTTCAAAGATTCATGATCGTAATGTATAACAAATTCTTTGGGCCACAAATAATGTTGCCATGTTTCTAATGTCCGCACTAGAGCATATAATTCCTTATCATATGTAGAATAATTAAGAATAGGCCCGCTCAATTTCTCACTAAAGTATATGCAACAGGTTTGCCTTCTTGTAACAAAACACCACCCAATCCAATTCCACTCGCATCACATTCAAGCTCGAAAGTCTTATTAAAATCGGGGAGTTGGAGTAGAGGTGCATGTGTTAACTTATCTTTTAGCACATGGAAGGCGTGCTCTTGTGCTTTGCCCCAAGAAAAGGGCACTCCC